CTGAGTGGCTGTCCTGGCTGCCGTTTGTCCATGCAGGGACACAAGTTGGCTGCAGGGCAGGAGTCAAAGGGGTGCAGATTTAGGGTGATGCGATGGGACCGAACCACCACCAATTCTTAGGGGTGCATAAACCGGCTCCCTTTTCCAATGAATCCTTCTCTATTCCAGGGGCTCGGGTCCCCACCACCTAAAACAGCTGTAGGACATATACTCTAGGGCTCCAGCATGTCTGTGTTCTTCTCTGCTAAGCAATGCCTCCTGTCTACACGGCTGTTTATACCAAGCTACCCGGGCATGCAGTGTCTGCCTTACCTGTAGTCCTACCCCTAGCCAAGCCAAACCCTCTGGCATGTAAAGCTGCTACCTAACTTCTTAAATGCACAGAGGACATTGCTCACCCCAGCCCTTTCTCATCATCTTTGTGGCTAATTGTCTGATGGGGAGGAGGAAGTTTACTGAACTTGGCTAGGGCACAAAAAGGGTTAAAAGGCTCCCGTCCCTGCCTGGGTTTCCCTGAGCAGGGCAGGTCTCGCCGAGGTGTCCCCCTAGCAGAGCAGAATTGATTGCATCTTCTTAAGGTCACATCCAGAGTGGTTTTGCTCCAGGGCTTTCCTGGTTTCTGTACTTTTGTAGCTGGCTTGGCAGAGCAGGGCTCTTATTGTTTCCTTCCTATTGGATTAGCTCGTTGTGGGCCAGTAAAGCGCGTCTCCGGGCCTGGTTTTAACAGCGGGAGAGTGTTGGTTGGGACGGGGGGGGACAGAGCGGGCTGGGTGCAGGAGCAATTGACCCGCCGGCGGGGAGGCGACTAGCCCGGATCCGTCTCCCAAGGGGGCTGTGTAGTCAGTACAGGGGGGACGCGGAGCGGGATTGTAGTTTTGGTTTAAATCTAGTCGTGTCTGTTAGTAACTTTGTGACCAGGAAGAAAGCGCTGAGGAGCGGCAAGAATCAACCCCCGCTTACACAGTTGGAGGGAGGTTTCCAGGCAGAACACCTGACCCACTCGGCACGCCGCCACCCCTGCGTCTTCACGGCGAAAGGAGCCAGGGGCGTGCGTTAACTCGAGTTAGCTAGCTCGACGTCTAAACGCACCTTGCTCGCCGTGGGGGGTGGGAGGGTCCAGCCCAAGCTCTGAGGAAAGCGGCGGGGGGAGGGGGAGTCGTGCTTTGGGCTCAGACCAGGAGGGCAGGGGGAGCTGGGTTCAGGGCAGACGGGCGCTGCCCCCTCGGCGCGCTCTAGCCTCTGTTCTCGCAGAATTCTGCTGCCATCTTCCGTGTCAACGCAGCCGAGACGCGCTAGAGCCAGAACCGAGGCGCGCCGGGCTTCGTGCCACGCCTGCCTTTGCCCTGGTGGGGGGAGAGGGGGGAAGGGTAGCAGGCAGCAGCCCCCCCCCCCCATGTCAGGTTCCTGCGCCCTTCGGTTCTTGGACTCCTTTCCCGGGGAGGAGGGGGGGGTAGCGACCAAGACCAGGACAGAAATCGTCAAGAAAAACTGGCTGGAGAGGAACCCCCCCCCCACCCAACATAAGGGGGGCAAGGGGCAGCGGACACAGGGTGGCGGGGGTCAAGAATCATGAGTCTCCTGATTTGAACGTTATTGACAACGGTCTTTGTAAAAGCTAGTCAGTCACCGGGGTCATCTACAGCCCTTCCCTCCTCCAGACCCGGAGCCGTGGAAATGACCACGAGCCTTGGAGGAAAACTCCCGTGGGTTGGAGTCGAAAATAACCTTCCCATGGGGTTTTTCGGAGCCAGCCCAGAAACACGAGCGGAGAAGTCTATCTATGCGCTGGCTTGTGTAGACAGAATCCCAGGCGTGATGAATAGCGGGTCGTGGTTAGGCTTCGTCTCTACTATGACCTTTTGCAGAGCGTTTTCCCGTAGGGCCAGGCGGAGCTAGACGCCGCCATGTCAATGCAGGAACCCTTGCCTAGAGGTTTGGGTTCAGCGAAGCAGGAGAAGGGAGCCAGCCCCGGTCAGAGCTCAGTAGCTGGGTACCCCGTCTTTGCCCGTGGGCCATGGTGTTGTGGGCACACAGGGCTATCTGGATGGGGCCAAGCTCTGGTGGCATAGCCTCTCCAGGCATGTGATCGGGGTTCCTGGGAGGTGTTTTCCAAGCCAAAGACCCCGTTTGTCGCATATGCTTAGCCCGCGGTCCGCATTTCTCTCCCTGTCGCGCCTGGGTATATCAGACACCCCCACCGGTGAATGAAAGATCACTGCAAAATCACCTCGCACTCCATACGTTTCCCCCTCCCGCCTACTCCATTGAATTATGCCCTTCACTACCTTCAATTTGAAAGGGAGTTATATATATATAAAAAAGCTGCTTTGTGTCCTAAATGAATAAAATATGTTCATGTCCCATCAGCTCCCTGTTTGCTCCCATTATGCACCTTTCTAAGAAAAGGAGTTAATCATAAATGGGTTGCCACGGGCATTTTGCACTTATCGCCTTCCCAAGAGGCAGCCAAAAAGTGGTTCAACTTCCCCAGTTTGCTTGGCTTGGATCTTCCTTTTAGGAACGCCCCCCCCCACCCCAAAAAAAGAGGAGAGGCCCCTTTGCCTTTTAAACAAATGTAGAGTGCACAGAAAGGATTGCGGGTGTGTGCATTTTTTTCTACGGAGATGCGGTTAGAATCTCCCTGGGCATATAAATAATCAATATCCAACCTCTCTTTGCCTGCAGATGATCAGTACGTAATTGGCACCCAAACGTTTTTCAGGTGGGACTTGGAAGAAGTCAGGTTCTTTCGACAGTCCTAAGCTATCGTCTTGAGTTGAAATAATGAAAATCAAAGAAAGGAGCATTGGGGAAAGTCCTGGGTCTTTTTTCCCCCTTGTTTGCTTGTTTTTTTTTAAGTTGATAATTATGCCTTCGGAAAGGCTGTGCTTGGAAAGCTCTTGCAGAAAAGTAATTCTAAGAGTCTAAACTGTGCAAAAAGAAATCGGTGATGTTTTATTTTAATCTTTTTTTTTCCAGGCGTGCGAGTTTGTGCTTTAAAAATCAGTTTTCAGGAAAAGGCAAGAACAATGCAGCCTTTTAAAAAATCTGCAGACTTCTGAGAATATGCTTCTCTTCTTCTACCCCCCCCCCCCTTGATTGAATACACCGGATTTCTCTTCCTAGCAAAGGGGAAGGTTTTGTTCGTTTGGACAGTCTGTGAATACTGTTCTGAAACTTCTTTCAAGTGAGAACTGAAGAGGGAAATGTTAAGTTCTAAGAGGAGACAATACGTTAGCATCTTTGAACTGAGTCCCTTGCATGCAAATAAGGCTGTGGGCAATTTTGGGCAACTTTAATTGGAAGGTGGAAACGTGAAGTTAAGGATACGTAACAAAGTGAATCTAGAGTCGCCGCTCCCACGTTCTGCAATATGGATTCGTGCTGGGGGGGGGGGTGTTCTCGGTCTCCCCTTTCCCCATTCAACCACGCAAATCAGAACGTTTGGAGCAATGCGGATCTTGTCTTCATCCCCTGTAGCCCACTTCTCCGATTCCAGGGATAAAGTGCGAACCCCCCTGATCGTCAGAGACCGGACCCGTCCACCTGTAAATGCTCAGCCCTGGACCCTCTATAGGGAGTCGAATGACACAGGCAGTTACATGTGCTGGCCTTACCCTTCCTGGGCGAGACGGGCCACTCCTGCCTGCCACATGCCAGCGCTGTAGAAAGACAGGGGGGAACAGCAGCATCTGTCACCTTTTCAGAGCCAGTGTCGGTTTCTTTAGGTAGGAAACCAAAAGGCAGAACCTCTTGCGCCCTCCCGCATCTGAGCTGGAATCACCCCGCCAGCGGCTTTCCTGGGGGGAGGGTTGCTGGTTTGGGGGGGCTGTTCTTTGCTACACCCTGTGCTAGGCTGGGACGTGGAGCTCTGCTTCCTTTAGCCCGCCCTGCTGTCCCTGGAGCTGAAACGGACTTTGATCCGTTTCTTGCTTCCCACTCCACCGCTTCCCCTCGGAGGGTCTCCCCAATAATGCCACTGTTCTGGGGGCTGCTCTGTGCCCTACAGGCTAATACAACCGCGCTCTGGGAGCCAGGCTCCGTTCCCTGCTCCAGAAGGCAACTGCTCTTCCCGGAGCGAAGGCAGCCGCGGTTTATGTAACAATATAATTCGGATTGATTCTTGCAATGGGCGCATGGGCTGATTTTGAGTGACTTCGGGGCGGGGGGGGGGCTATTTTATTTTTTGCAGATCCTGGCGCAAATCTGAAACTTGCAAGTTAGTTTAAATGTGGAACAGGTTTCCCGGAGCGCGGGGGTCGGGGTAATCATCGATGCAATTTTTGCAAAGTGAGATTCCAACCTGAACATTATCCCTTTGCCTTTCACTTTCCCCAGTGATTGGGCCAGCCCTGGGGTTATCTGTATCTTCAAATGAATAGAAGGGGGGGTGTCCCCAGAAATATGGGCTCTCTCCTAGTCAGATCTACATTCCTCAGCCCAGTAACTGGAAAACAACCCCCCTCCCCCAGCTCAGGGGGAGTCTGTGCGCCTGCATAGCCTTTCCCTTAATGTGCACTTTATTTTATTTAACTTTCTTGTGTTTCTTTTCTTGCCTCAAGACAAGCTGTTCTAGTCAACTGCCTCTCCCGGCTTCCAGGGCACTCGCGTGGCGACTCCGCGTCAAAGTTCTGAAATAAATCCATCCGGTTAAAGTGTCTGTCATTTTCACCTACCGATCTTCCCCCCTCCCCCCGTTAATGTCTTTCTCCCCCTCTGGGGGATTGTGTCGGGCTGGGCCCAGCCAGCCCGGGATGACTTTTCATAGCTCTTGGCTGTGTGCAGACCCTTATTGGAATGAGTGGTCAGACTGCTCATTTCCCACAGCCATAAAAGGTCCTGAACTCAATTAATGGCTAATAATTATACAGCTAACTCCGCTGCAGCCATCATTAGCACGGGGGCGAAGGCATGTACACGGAGGGGACTCACTCCATATGCAGCAATGTTAATTGCGGTAGCCGAGTCTCAATATAGGGCGAAAGAAGGTTGCCCTGTTCTGTCTTCGTCCATTGGCCCCGTTTTATTTATACCGAGAAAAAAGGAAGGGGACAGTTTTTACACACGATCCGTGGCGCGGACTCCTCATTACGTCCTCCTGGCTCTCCGACTTTGAAGCCAACATTTTTTGATTAGGAATCGTTGTTAATCAGAATGAATTAGGAACAATAGAGCGAACCCCACCTTCGCCCCCGCCCCTCTCCCCACACACCCTCCAGGTTCGGGGCTTTGCCTTCTCGGGGGAATTCGCTCCCTTGTTCTCCACAGGCAAACAATGCGTGAAACTCAACACAATGCCGGCGATTTCTTCTCTTTTCCACGTGTCTTCAGAGAAACTGGCTCTGGTGCTGCTTTGATCTGTGTGGAGAAAAATGAGGGGAGGAGGGGTTTGACTTTTCAGGGGTAAAGATCTAAACGGATCTTCCTTTAATAATTGTTACGAACATAACACTATCTGGGAAGGCATCAGATCTTTTGCAGGATAGTAAATTAAATCTGCACGCAGTTCAGTTTAAACCTCCCGTTCTCTCTCCCTCCCCCCCCCCACTTAATTAAAGAAACTCCCCTCTTGAGTTACAACCCCCCTGGTGCCCGGTTTGCTGGCTATTAAAAAATGGATCTACATTTTTGTTTCAGGCGAATGGAGGAGGGATAAGGTGTCGAGCTCCCTTCGAGAATTAATTTTTGTACGGATGTAGATTTTCTGGGTCCCTCTCGGTCCTGTAACCCCTGCAAATCAACACACTTCGCTGAACGCTACAGCATCCGCCTTTGAAATAGGTGGAGAGTTGAGCTAATTTTAAGCAAACAGGGACGTTGAATAGAGCGTTTGGGTATTTTAGAAATTATGTATCTCGGTAGGAAAAAATGTTTCTCCCCCCAAAATGGTTTTCGTTTGCGGCAGAGCGGCTAAATTATTATAATGCACAGGCCTGTCAGAAAAGAATTCCAAATCTCCTAGCAGGGCTGTGTAACAGTCTGTCCTGTTACATCAGGACACTTCGCCCTTTCCATTATAAAACGGTTTAATGGTTTATTACCTGTCAGTTGCTTCTTGGTGTAATTTAGCAAGTCTTCTCCTCACAACAAAACATGTAAATCAAATGTAACAAATAATTTAGCATTTATTTTAAATTTTTCATGCAAGACGGTCGGGGTTAATTAAATTTGGGCTGGCATCATGCAAAAACTAATTAAACTGCCAGGATGGCATTTTAAGACACTGGTGCATCATCCTCAATTAATGGCTAATAATTATACAGCTAATAATTATCCAAAATGTTATTTTAAACCCTCGGATATTTGAGGTTTGAATGATCCCTTTCGCAGCCCCTTGTTTTAACGTGTGCGCTGGTACTCTACTTCGGATCAGCTAACTGTAGATTTACACAATGGACGGCAACGAATTTGAAGGAATTCTTAAATTGATCATGTATTTTTTAAAAAAGAAGCTTAATTTTTCAGGGCCCCAACGGGACCAGTATTTTTATTCCTGGAAATTAGTAAACTGCATTGAAATTAGTTTTTGGATCAAAATATATTTTAACATTAAAAAAACTAGCCAGAAAACTGTGCTTTAGGAAGACACGTGCAGTAAGATATATATTTAGATTATATTAGCCTGATAGAATCGGTATTTTTCGTCCTATTTTATTTCCAATTTTCTTAGTAAAAATGCCTTAAGAATTCTTGTTGGTTTGGGGGTTTTTTTCTGTGCAGAAGACCAGCAGAATTCCCTCTCCCTCTCCTTCAATAAGGAATGATGTTTCTTAAGCAGCTGTTTAGGGGCGTTTGGGTAAATAATGTTTTTCCAAAGGCGTATGCAAATGCACAGATCTTTACCTAGGGAAGGCGCTATTACAGTTTATTGGGTAAATAACGTGCCTTTAAAAAAAGTAGCACAAGTGTTGACCTGATTCTAAAGACCATTTCATCGGAACAGCGCCTTTGGAAGGCATTTCAGCTTCTCTCCACTTTCACCCGACATCGCCCCTTGCACACACTCGTTTTATTAACCCCACCCTTACAAATATAAAGAGAATGCTACAGGCTCAGGGCAAAGAATGGCCAACGTCGGGTTTCCCAGCAGAATCCTCTGGTAAAGGGGAATAACTCCGCGTTCAGAAGTGTAAATCTGGCTTTGCTCAGGGCGGGTGCTGCGGCCCCATTTCAGTGTGGGGACCAGGAGCTTTTGCAAATCGGTTTGTGACCAGTAGTGAATCCTTTGAATTAATCACACACACACACACACAGATCTTTTCCAGGGCAGCAGTAAACATCTGTTATTTAAACAAACACAAACTTTCCCATTGACAGGCTCGACGCAGCGAAGTGAAAGAAACTAACACAGGCAGCGACAACCAGGAGCTTTGCACGGCAGCTCCTCCTTCATTGACCGGCCCAGTGCTGAGTTCGGGGTTCTGGCCTCCCCCCCCCCCCTGGCCAATTGCTGCTGACCTCCCAGCCACCCTCCCTGGCTGCAAATGTTTCCAGTCTACCCTTAACTGCCCCCTTGTGCCTGCAGCGAAACGGGGCTTTGAAGCCGGGATGAAAGATGCTGAAATTTCTGGGCATAATCGGGGATGAAAGGGAATTTGCGTGGGTTACAATGTGGGGGTTGTGTGTGTTGTTTCCTTCGTTTATTGATGGCAGATTAAAAAGGAAAAACCCTCTAGGTAAGCGTGTGACATTCTTACCGGCTAATCTGCGCCTCGCTCACACTAGAGCAGAGCGGCCCCTTCTTGTGCCCAGGGGAGTTTGCGTATTTTTTAAAAATAATTCTCTGTATAATCTCCCTCCAACGCTGGGCAGGAACAATCGGCATTTGTGCTAAAATCCTCGGGAAGAGAAAGCAGGTGCCCCAGCTCCTGCTCGAGCCACAACATCTCAGCCATTTTAATCTGCTTTACTACTTAAAAAGCACTTGTGCACACCGGCTTGCCAAGTGTAAACCCATGTTTTCCAAGCAGTGGAAAACAACCTGAAAGCCGCCTCTCGGGTGCTTCTGTGGACATGGCCGCTCCCAGACAGGGCTACCCTGCCTGTTTCGTGGCTGATGGTGAAGATGACCACCTGGGGCTAACTGTTGTTTTAAACGTGGATCCTGGCACGCAAAGTTTCGCCTGGTGCGTACAGTACTTTCAAAGCCAAGTTCACAACGTCTAGAAAGCCCAGGACTTTGCAATGAAAATGCCAGCCAGGCGACCTCTTAAATTAGAACCACTCCAGTATCCACCTTAGAGCCCCGTTAAAATATAACCCGCGCGCCGATGTGTGTGGTGGGGGGGGGGGGAGGGGGGTGCCCTGGCTGGATGAGAAACCAGAGATGAAGGTGGAAATAGGGGCAGAGGCAGATCCTATAGCCTCTTAAAATGGCGATCTCCCCAGGACTGGTTTGTGCGTGTGCCCGGCTGGCGGACCCACCCTCTCCAGCCCCAGATTGTGTGCCTGGGCTAACTGCAATTCCCCTGTCATGACCCCAATGCAGAAGGGGCTCTGTACTCTTCTCTCCTGGCCAGTGGTTTTTGTTTTAAAATGTAAAAGCCTGAGCATTTGCATGGGGCAGGAAAACGATTAAGATCCTGCCTCCAAGTGACCTCCTCCGGGGGGTATAGCCTGAAACCAGCTGCAGGAATGCACCCAGCATGCGTTTGGGGATCCTGGCGAGCTACCGTTAAATCCCCCAGAGGTAGGCAGGTATTCCCTGGGCCTTGCTCAGCCACTCACCCGTATTGTCTGCGTCCTCTGAAATCATTGTACAGGGCTACAGAGCGAGCTGGGGGAGCGGTGGCGCTGTGGGGATAGAACACAAGGTTATGTGGCTCCACTCGCCAGGCCAGGCGTTCCCAAGTGACCCTTCCCCAGCCCAAGCAAGTAGAGCAGCAAGGAATCCCTCCACTTATCCATGCAAGCGATACGTATTCAAACAGGTGCAAAAGAGGATCATACGGATTTCTTTGTAAAATCAAATACCCGGCGAGCAGGTCGCACGTCTGCTCCGGCCAGGGACGTCGGGCTTTTGACAACAAGCCGCAGAATGGGTATCTGAGGATGGCCAGAGGTTTCATCTTGGGTGTTTGGGATTTGCTGAGCACCAACATTTGGTCTTCAGTCCCGTTTCTTCCCCCTGGGAGGTCAAGTCGGAAATATAGCAAAACAGCCTTTGCGCTGTGCGGGAGTATAAACCAGGGACGTGGGGCTGGGGGAAAGGCATGTAAAACCAGGGTGTTAGCCGGCTGTCTTCTCTGCGCATCGAATCGAACCATATTCGTTAGAACCTAGCAGGAGGGCAATGTAAACGGAGATCACTCCTCGATTTGTTTGGATTTTTTTTAAAGAACAAGACAATCAAAAAATGTTTTTGATCTAAAACCAATTTTGTAAAAGGGGACCCTGGGAAAACAGCGGGGATTCTTGTTCAATTATAGATACTCCACTCTGTCCGAATCAGGAAAGCACACTTTCAATAATTTTGTGTGTGTGTGTGTGTGTGTGTGTGTGTGTGTGTGTGTGTGTGTGAGAGAGAGAGAGAGAGAGAGAGAGAGAGAGAGAGAAGAAT